ACAAGAGCTCAGAGTAATGTTACAGCTGAGTGTACATCAACTTGCAGGCTTGTAGGATTGTATCCCCCATTTCCAACTCTACCTGTCTCTCTGTGGCCAAAATACTTTTTGTCTGAAGTCGTCTTTGAGCTAGTTTCCAGATTTGCTGTTGGCTTTGTGCTAAAATGTATAAACTAAAAGAAAACTCCTGTGTGTACGAATTAAGAAGAGGTTTGGGTCAGTAAGACTGTAGCTTCTGCCTAGTCATTTTGCATAGGAACTAGGGGTGGGCGGTATAAACGGTATACGGTTGAAACAATATGAATTTCGCCAACGATAGAGATTTTAGGGGTGTCCAAATTCATACGCTGCATCCTGCTGAGGACCCGGCCTTCACGGTCTACGTAGGCCAGGTCCTCTGAAGGCCGGAAGTGAGCGGCTGTGTAATTAGAGGGCTAGCCTTCAGTTTTGTGTCATTGCTGTCTCAGTGGAGTTTAATAAATTCAGCCGTCTGCTTCTTTCTATCTAAAATATAACAGGCGCTGGCGTAAATTTTCGATCATCTCACACTTCTGTTTAATCAGCTTCCTTTTGACATTTATTCAGCTGTGTGAAAATCCTGGAGAAATCCTCCTGAGGGATTAATAAAGTTTTATTTAATCTAATCTAATCTAATAACTTTAATCTCAGCCAAACCGATTTACTCACGAACAAATAAAACACTGAAAAAGGCCAAACGATAACATGTTTAACTTATTTAAGTGACTTATATATCATGTTTAACCTGAGTAGCGAAAGACCGTGGGGGTTTCATCATCTTTTTCAAGTTCCTGTTAGGAGTCATGCAGTCGCATTTTGAACCAGCTGCAGACGTGAGAGCAATGACTGACTGACCCCCACATAAAGTGAGTTACAGTAGTCCAGGCGGGAAGAAATAAAAGCATGGATCACTGTTTCAAGGTGCTGCCTCGAAAGAAAAGATTTTACTCTTGCCAGTCACCTTAAATGATAAGAACTGGACTTCACCACTGCTCTGATTTGGTTGTCCAATTTAAAATCACTGTCCAACTTAAAACCAAGGTCAGTAACAACAGGTTTAAAATAGACTTCCAGGGATCCTAAATCAACAGAGGAGGACTCACAGGGACCACTAGGTCCAAACACCAACACTTCTGTTTTTTTTTCGTTAAAATTTAAGAAGTTTAGAGCCAACCAAGCTTTAATGTCATCTAGACATGTCAAGATGGGTTTTATGGAGATGCCATTCTTCTGCTTTAGTGGTAAATCAATTTGGCAGTCATCGGCATAACAATGAAATGAGATCCCATGCCTTCTAAGGATGGAACCCAACAACAACAACAAACTTTATTTATATAGCACATTTAAAAACCAGTGGTGTACCAAAGTCCTTAACATGTAAGAGAGTAGGGTGAAGTAACAGGGAAGGATGAGGGCTATGGCAAGGTGCCAAAACATGCTAGCAGGTTGAATGGCATTAAAACACAAAGCAAAAGAATTGCATATAAAAGCATAAAAGAAAACGAAGTGTAAAGGATAAAACAGTCAAAAAATTAAAAATGTTTAAAAGTAATTAAGAATAAGCCGAAGATAAGAATAACCATTAAGCTAACTAACAAGCAAGCGTTAACTGGAAGAAAAGGTGAGGCTAAATAAGTGGGTTTTAACCGCGATTTGAAGGCAAACGTGCGGTCACCTCTAGTCTTCAGCCGGGATCTCGGCAGTACCAAGAGTGACTGGGAAGATGATCTTAGTGCTCTAGTAGGGGTGTATAATCTAAGTAGCTCAATGAGGTAGCTTGGCGCTATATTGTTCATAATTCGGAAGGTAAGCAGCAGGATTTTGAATTGAATACGATACTTGACGGGAAGCCAATGCAGATCAGCAAGGACAGGGGTAATAGAGACACGGCGCCCACTACCAGTAAGGAGACGAGCAGCCGCATTCTGAACAATTTGCATTCTACGGAGAAGAGGAGAGTTAAGACCGAAGTAAAGTGAGTTGCAATAATAATGGATTGGATTTATATAGCGCTTTTTCTAAGCACCCAAAGCGCTTTACAATGCCACTATTCATTCACTCTCACATTCATACACTGGTGGAGGCAAGCTACAGTTGTAGCCACAGCTGCCCTGGGGCAGACTGACAGAAGCGAGGCTGCCATATCGCGCCATCGGCCGATATGGCATAATCCAACCTAGATGTCACAAAGGCGTGGTTAAGCTTTCCAAGGTCCCAAAGTGGAACATAATGTCTGGCCTTGCTAATAAGACGCAGTTGATGGAAGCAAGATTTAACAACAGAAGACACTTGTTTGTCGAACTTAAAAGAGCTATCCAAAAATACACCTAGGTCACTAACCGTGTCGGTGAGGAAACTGTTAAAGGAACCAAGGACGTCACGGAGTTGGTCACGGGGGACTCTACTGTCAAACACGATAATTTCAGTTTTCCTGTCGTTTAGAATAAGAGAGTAACCTGCCAGCCAATTTTTGACCTCATGCATGCACTCGCGAAAGCCGTACAAAGACATAGCGGGATCATCAGTTAGTTCGAAATACATCTGTATGTCGTCGGCATAACAATGATGTGCAATGTTATACTTCTCAAAGATTGCGCCTAAGGGGAGCATATACAGTAAGAAGAGCAGTGGCCCTAAAATTGAGCCCTGTGGGACGCCGCATGACAGAGGAGAAGATGATTCGGAACCGAGAAGGCTGACAGATAAGGTTCTATCTGACAAATAAGACCTAAACCAATTAAGTGCAGTGCCACCAATACCCACTACATCATTTAATCGAGATTAAATTAGAATATTGTGGTCTACTGTGTCAAAGGCAGCAGTTAGGTCAAGCAAGACAAGAACAACATGGTTACCAGAATCACATGCCAGAAGGATGTCATTAAAAACCCTTAATAATGCAGATTCTGTTCTATTAAGGGTTTTAAAACCTGATTGAAAAACCTCAAAGATACCATTATCATCTAGAAAATCTTTCAGTTGACTAAAAACAATTTTCTCTAAAACCTTGGAGAGTAAAGGCAGCGTGGAAATAGACCTATAGTTGGCTAAAACTGTGTGATCAAGGCCAGGTTTCTTAAGCAGTGGGTGCACTACTGCATGTTTGAAATTTGCAGGAACCACACCAGAAGACAGACTGCTGTTAATAATGTCAAGGACATACTGTCGTATGCTAAGAAAAATTTCTTTAAAGAATTGTGGAGGGAAAGGATCCCGAGGGGAACCTGTGGGCTTAATATGGTGAACCACATCCTCTAAAGTGGAGAGTGTCACAAGATCAGACTGAGTGAAAACAGCAGCGTAAAGGACAGAGACAGAGGGGTCAGAGTTTGAAAACAATGAGCCGGGAGTTTGCTATTCTTGCCAGCTCAGATATTTGAAGTTTACACAGCTACATTCTCACCTGAAAATATGTTAAAAGTTTATTTTGCGACCCAGAAAGAGTAATATTAAAAATAAGTAGCTGCAGTAGAAGTAGCCATTGTTGGAAACTGGAATTGGCCGGGCCAATCTGGGATATGGTTTTTCAATTTTGTTGTCCGGGTGGAAAATCAGGAGAAATTCGGGGGAATGGTGGCTCCGGGAGATTTTCTTACTGAAATCTTCTGCTGCTGTTTTTAAAGTTTCCATGTTACCAGGCTGTAGAGGGCTCTGAAGATTTAAACAGTTTTAGATCCATGACACTCACAGTCTTATGTTAAAATGTCAAAGGACAGCATTATATTTTTGATATTAACAGTAACTCTGGGCCTCTGTGGAATGAGCAGCTGATCTCGTCTCTGTCTAAAGATGGATAAAAAAAACTCAGGAGTGCTGAATCATTCAATAATACAGACTATTAGAGTAACAGGTGTGTAGCATCGCTAGCAACAAGCCTCCAACACAGTGCGTATGCTAGCGGCTAATCTAGCAAACGAATTAACAACAGAGTGATTTTAGAACTATAAAATGCTAAGCTGTGTCTTTTTCATAACAGTGACATGTTTGTATTTACCTTAATTAAATGAGTCGTCAGTCGCAGTAAAGCCATCAGCAGATAAACTGCAGCAGCTGGGCTACTTAAAAAGTGTAGGAGGGCGTGTTTGCAGTCACGTCCAGCAGATGTGTGGGTGAGAGTGTGACACAGTTGCTCCACCTCAAGTCACTACTGCACAGACTCTGGCTCCAAAAATGCAAGATGGCAGCCTCCACAAGCGGGGTATTTTAGCTTCATTTTTGCACAATGGGAGGAAGTGCTCTCGCGTCGTCCATTTTTTCTACAGTCATTGGCTGAACAAGGGATATAGGCTAAGGCCACCATGTGCTCGCGGTCCCTTCTCTGGGCCGGGGCCCAGAAACGCTATCCTGGGCAGGGTTTTCCCTAGATTTTTCACTCATAGGGGTCTTTTGAAATGTTCACTGTCTGGTCCCTTACCCAGGACCAATTTGAGAGGGGAGATCCTACCAGAGGGGGACTTCAATCTCTTTCAGTCCCACCTTGCTTGACAACTGATGCAGCTATAAGAGCAGGAGTGAGGCAGTATGAAGGGACATGACAGAGAGACGTCTCTGAAAGACTGGAATGACACACACACAATAATCTCATGAACTTCATACAAATATCCTGTAAAGGATTTAGAAAAAGCTGGTGTGATTTTTGTGGCTGGCCTTCTCACATATGTATTTGCAGGAGTAAAAAGAATAATATTTAAATAAATAATGCAAATGTGATTTACTAATATTTTCAGCATGTAGTTTGTTGTTAATTCCACAAAATTTACTTGTCATGGTTGTCATAGTTTCTTGTTTTATTATATTTTTTATGAGCCTCCAACATCATTTCCTTGTGTATTTATTGTTGAATGTATATTTTGGTCACTATTTCAACCGTTTACACAATTTTATCCTCAATTTTCTCAAATTGATTATGTTCTCTGATATTTATGCATCTTTGTCTGCTACACTGTTATAAAAAGAACCTTTTGTACCTTTTTGTTTCCACAGAGAAGAGTGACTCTGCACCACAAGGTAAAGTCCAGAATCCTAATGTTGATTCATACATTACATCATTTGCTTGATGTCATTCACAGGTGGACAGTCAGCAAGGTAAACAAACACAAAGTATTAACATTAGGAAGCAGCACAGTGAGGAGATCAGTTAGGAAGAACGTGAAGTCCTGGAAAAAAAATCAGAGTTTATAGACAATCTGGTAATTGGTGAGGGGACAGAGACGACTGTATAAGAACTTGACATGGAAAAGGAAGAGCCTTAGCCTTCAGACAATAATTCTGATGGCTAAAGTAATGATCCAATCATATGGTTGGAATAGAGTTAGAATGATGTCAGTTTAGGTTGATGCCAAAAGCACATGAGGATCAGACATTAGCGCCCTAATGTTTGGAGTATTAAACACTAATCTGAGTGTGATAAAAGACAATGTTAACAAATATTAATAGACAGTGATATCAAACCTGGCTGTTGTCTAAACAAAGTCTGATAACAAAGCAGAGCAGCATGTGCTGTAAACTGTTGAAAACATGCTCCCACAAATACCAGTAACACCACAACAAGATACCAAGACATGACCAACTCCATGGCCATAAACATTTCTCTGATTTCTTTATAGTAGCAACTTTATTTGGAACTGACAGAATAATTTAGTTTTTCAGTTTGTTTATGTTCTTCTGTGAGACTGGAAGCTTTTGCCGAGTCAGAATTAAGATTTTAGTTTATTATATGTATCTGTTATTTATTTAAAAAACACTTGTAAAGTGTTGCAGAAGATTTATCATGTTCAGCTTCTGAAAAAAACATGCAATACGTAAACCTAAGTTAACCTTATGTTTTCAGATCTCAGGAGTAAAATGGAACTTTTAAGCTCATCACAGTTTATTCTAGGAGTGTTTATTTTGAAGGAGAGAGGGAGATTTTATAAGAACCGACTCAGTGCTGTTAGAGCAGTGTTGAAACTTTGCTTTAGGACCTTTCATGAAACTGAGCAGAGCAGAACTGATTTGTCTTTTTCTCAGCAGGGCGCACACAGCGAACTTCTTTCTGTTGACTCTGTAACAAACCAAAATTTAAATATCTGTCAAATTCAGTTAGGATAGGACTGAATGTGAGGCACCCTGAGGATTTTACGCATTAAAAACAAGTTTCAGAGTTCTTGTCAAAGTAGTTTTAAGGTGGTCGACCCCCACACCACATCACCTTTTTTGTTTTTGTTGTGGCAGTAGTTTGACACAGTACAGAGCGAAAAAGCTCATTTACTCTCACCTGATGTGGCGCTAAGGCAATATTGAGTTTTGCCAGTAGGTGGCAGTGTTGGCTTAGACAAACGAGTGCTTCCAAGTAATCTCACATAAAAGTAACACAGGCCAGTCATGGTAATGGAAGGCGACAGTAAAACAGAACTGCTGTTTCTGTATTCTCTGTTTACCGGAGCAATCGCACATTTACCGATGTGACACAGTAACTAAGTCGTGTTTGGTGTTCATCCAACATCATACAGGTCAGGTGTGAAGATTTCAGGTGGAATATTTTGTAATATTGCAGCTCTTCACTGGATAAATTCTGAGCTCTGCTGCTCATGACAGAATGACGGTTATTACTGAAGTAAACTGATTGGCGGCCACGTCTGCAGCCTGTTTGCAGTTCGGACACAAGCATGTCGCTGCATGTTGTACTGTGTGTCACAAATAAAATTTGACTTATTTATATATGAGTAGCACACTGTTAGAAGCTCATTCTGCAATTGCATCATCACAATAATTTGTCTAGTTGAGTAAATCTGTCCCAAAGCCTTTGATTTACTCATATTTTCCTGCTGTGATTTAGTGCATTCGGATTTTAATGTGTTGTTAGTAACCTTTACAGCACAGTGTAACTGGGGGTCATTTATATTATTAAAAATTTGATTTGCTCCAAATTCCATCATTCATCCAGCTCAAAAGATTTTTAATAGATTTCAGACACTTCTGTTTGTGGGTCAAAATATTAGGAACACCAGTTATTATAGTTCAGTGCTGTGTGACACATCAGCATTTACTGACTTCAAACAGGTTTAGATTATCCTGCAAAATCCAAGTGTCAGAAAAAGCTGAACACAACAAATTTAATCAAATTCAAATGAGTAAAAGATCAAACTTTATGGTGCTGCAGTACCAGCGTCCTGCAAACATGTACTTTATAACATTATTTTTGCAGCCCAGTTATTTAACAATCAAATTTTAATTTCAGTTTAACATTTATTTATTTAATGCAGCTAACCTGTGAGCTCTCTGTAAGCAGTGCTTAACTCTGTTCTGGACACAATTTATAAAGCTTTTTCTTTATTATTATTATTATTTCAGTTGTAATGTTTATTTTATCTTCCCTGATTTGAAAGACATCAGGAGGTCAAGCACTGTGATGGCATAGTGTGTTACTCAGTGTTACTGATGCAGTTAGAGGACGAGGGTGGAGGCAGCGTGCAGGGACATTAAACCTGAAAGTGAAAAAATAACTGTTGAGCCAAATGTACCAAAATCTCACTGAAGGTTTTAGCTGTAAAACAGCTGATCAGACAAAAGAAACACTTTTCAGTCTCAGGGGATAAGAGCAGTTACACACTCTAATATGAGGGAGATACAACTTTGTTTTCAGAATCAGAATACTTTAATAATCTCCAAGGAAATTATGTTATTTCATGATCACTTATTACTTAAAAGGTCAGAGGGTGTCCTAGTGTTTAATAATTTATTATCTTGAACACACTCTGTAGATTTTTGACTGCAGGATAATATAAACCTGTAATAAACCTTTAATTATTTCCTCTGTTGGTTTCAGTGAGGTCACAAATATGTTTGTGCAGATGAAGCTTCCACACAAACAGAATCAAGATAAAGTCAGAGGTTTAAGGTTTTAAAGAGAAAATGGAAATGAAAGCAGCAAATAAACTCTACAAGTTCAGATTTCTAATTTAGGAAATAAATCATCTTCGTCTGAAACCAGAACACAGAAAACAAACTGCTTAAATTGTCCTTTATTTTTGTTATCCTGCTGATGAAGATGATCACAGCTGTGTCTTTGTTAAAGAATAACTCTCAGCTTTTGGTAAATATGTCAAACATGTATTCAGGAAGGGTCGCTTCACTGCACTCTCATATAGTTTAGTTTGAGAGTTAGTGCTCAGTGCCAGTGTGTTCATCAGGAGAGCTAACAGTTTTTCAAAATAAAGCTGATTGCAAAAGAATTCAGATTTGTGTGAAGTGTTAGTGTCTAAAAACAGGCTTAATCCTAACAGCTTAAAAATAAAATTTTTAATTCAGTGGTTCATTTTACACACAGCGTGTTTTCAGCCTTTATTTATTCTGGATTTTTCTACAGGATGATAAAAAGAGGTCATATTAAAGTCAGTCTATAAAAATGTGTTTTTAGAAGTAATGTCAAGGAAAGGAGGCTCAGCAGGAGGAAAGCAGGAGTCTCTGAGCCGCAGCCCAGAGATTCAAACATCCTTCATAGAGGAGGAAGCTCCAGCATCATCATCCTCACTGCTCATAGCAGAAACCAGCCTGGTAGCTGTGGAGACGCGCAGGAGAAAACAGGAAGTTAGATCCATGTTGACATCACTGAGCTCGCTGGTTAAACCTGCTGTTTGTTCCTGACATGCAGTCACAGTCTGAGTTACACCAATGTTTTCTCTTCTGTTTCAGGGTCTCCTGTATGGGCTGCCATAGTCATCAGTGTTCTTGTTGCTGTTGTTAAAGTGTGAGTTAAAGCTTGCTTTTTGAAGAAAGGTGAGTTTTACTGATGTACTATATCAACATTCATCATTTGTTGGCAGGAACATCAAACATTCTTTACAACTCCCTCATGTTAGATCTTAACCTTTGATTTATGTCAAAGAAGATAAAGACTTTGTTTCTATTCACTCAGTGTGTGACCAGTGTAGTTGTGTTTCTTGAATATTTTGACTTTGTTCCCGCAGGTTCACAAAGAAGAGAAAATGGCCGCTCCATAAAGCTCACCTCCGAACGATCTTAAAAAGTGTGAATTGGTCATATTTGAAACCTGTTTTTGTTTTTTGTCGTTGAAAAAAAAATAGAAAAAATACCATTTTAAAACAGTCACATTTCCATCATTTCAACTTTAATTTGATCATTTACTGATCTCAGTGTTTCCTCTCCTGCTGCAGTTTCATGGCTCCTCCTGAATCCTTTCCCATTTTCATTGTGCAGCTTTATAAATAATTCACTGAAAAAAGTTTCTCTGAGGTTCATGTTTTTCATGAGGACAGTGATGGTTTGTTTTGATCATAACAGATTAAAATAATTGGAACTCCAAAAAATTGTCCCCTTTGAAGACGTTACAGTTTATTATCTGGATCAGTAAAAAGAAAAATAACGAGACAAGCAAATTTAAAAATGGCCCAAAGCAAAACATTAACTCTAAATTCAGGATTTATTAAAGTTTCACGTTTCTATTATGTTTCATATTCAGTTGAAAGCTTGTCATGCAAATGATGAAGAAACATTTCAGCTCATATTTAACTCAGTCTAGTTAAACATGTGCACTCATGTTTTACTGTAAATGAATATTTAGCAGATAGAAAAATTATGATTTCATTTTTAGAATATTTTTACTTGCGCTTAAACTCTAATATAATATGTTGTTTTTGGTTCAGTTGATTTTTTTTTTCAAATTATATTTTTGCTGTCAACTGTTGATGTACTTTTTTATATTTATGCCATTTAACAGAAAGCTTAAGAGTGCACAAGCCTGAATAAAAAACTTTTGCGACTGTGTGTGTGTGTGTGTGTGTGTGTGTGTGTGTGTGTGCGCGCGCGCATGTATATGCGTCACTAAATGTTAATAAAGTGAGAAGATGTTTTACTGTTCTAGTCAAATTCCAGAATGATTCTTATTTTGCAGCAGCTGTGCTTTGATAAAAGACATTTAGCTACAGATGGAATGTCGGTGCAAAGCTAAAGTGTTGCTCAGGATTAGCAGGAAGCTGTTGCACTCCAGTGTTTTTATCCTGAGCTGGCCGAGGAGATCGATGGGTGTTTGTCTCTAATGTGTCAAACTAATATCAAACATGAGATTGAATAAAAAGTTGACTTTTTGTTCAATCTCAGTCACTTTTGTCATTTTTTTTAAACATTTTGGCTGTAACTAGTTTAACATCAGTATGAATGTGAGGGAGCCGTCAGTCAGGAAACAACACTGTGCTGAAGAAACATGCATGAAACTTTTTTTCACATATTTGTTTCACTGTGTGCATTTGCTGGTTCAAATATGAACGACAACAAACAGGTGATCATCACTGAGGGAGGATCAGTGGATTTGTTAAATGTCGTCACAGAGAATGTTTGTTCACACATGATGGCAGATCCAAAGAGAGGAAACATCTTTCCGAGCTTGTCTCCACATGTGGGGAAACTTCTCTCATCTAGTATGAATCAAAAGTGCAACCAGCTGTTTTTCAGCTTGATGAAGTTAAATATTGTATTCACAGCATCAACATCATGGTTCATGTCTAACTTATACCGCCTGGTAGTGAAGGCCAGGTGAAGCTTGTAAAAAGGGTTCATTACTCTTTGGTGACATCTGGTGGACAAAAATATGAAGAGCAGCTTGAATCAACAAGTAAAAATGAAGTTCTTTGTTATGATGGCCCACTCTATGAGACGAGTCTGTGCGTCCGCTGTGGTGCTTTGCACATGTGAAAAAATAATGTGTATTTGCTAAATAAACCTTCCTTGTTTAAACTTACATACACCGGGCTGTGGTCTCTGCTTGTTTGTGACTTCTCCTTGTTTGTAAACATAACAAATAAAAGATATATTATGTATAATTATGTAAACACAATCTTATAATCTTAATAGGTTGGGAGTATGCTTGTACTGTGACGTCCTGCCTCCACACTCTAACTGTAACCCCAACCAGTGAACAGTTACATTTATATCAATTTTATGTATATTTTATTTGACCTCGATGACGTTTTCATGGAGGTCAAGGAAAAGTGAGTAGGAGAGTAGATGCGGACTTAGGAAACAGAAGAGCTGTGTGCTGAGAACTGGACCAACCTTACGCTCGTCTCTGTTAAATATGATGATGGATGTCTGCAGTGTTGAAACTACAATATGCAGAAAATGGACTACAAAATGCACATCTTACACTGCCACCACATGTCCTAACCCCATTTTCTATGGAGGTCAAATAAACGAGAACAGTCTGTGAAATATTTTTAGAAAAAGAACATTTAGGGCCAGATTAACGTCTCCAGCAGCAGAAATCCTTCTTTGGATGTTAAAAATCTGCTGGATTTACTGATGGCTCAGTGTTTTGTGACTAACAGTTGTATTTCTTCGGCTGGCCTTATGGTAAATGGACTGATTCTTATACAGCGCTTTTCTACTCTCCAGAAGTGCTCAAAACACTGTCTACAACATGCCTCGTTCACCCAATCATACAAGCACTTTCTTCTGCTGTAGTGCTGTTTAGTTAACATTCACACGGATGCATCGGAGAGCAAACTGGGGTTATTATCTTGTATCTGTTGTATTCGGGGGGAGCCAGGGATCAAACCACTAACCATCCAATCAGCAGCTGACCTGCTCTACCACCTGAGCCTTATGTGTTTGTAAGGACCTAAAACAAAACTGTTAGAGCATTCAGGAGCAGCAATCTGACACCAGGCAGCACAAAGCAGCAACAGACACTAGAGGACACCAAAGGAACATCACTAACTTTAAAGCTGATATATATAATCAGCACAATCAGACTTTTAATATTCACAGTTTGTACACAACTAATAAACACACTTGCTGCTTTGAATTTATAGAAATTCAGCACAAAGATCAGCAACCACTAACTACTACTACTTTTTCTCTCTCTCTTTTGGTGAGACAGACAGATGAACCCGGTTGAGCTCATAAAAAAAACAAAGATGAGGGAGTTAGAGACTGAAAAGAGAGAAGTGACAGTTAGAAATGAGGTCAGTCAGGAGCTGAAACAGGACCAGCTTGTTTTACATTGTTGGAGTTCAGGATCAGCGTCAGTGTGAAGTTTGTGTCAAGTTTTTTAAATACTGCTCCCTGATGCTTGAGGTTCTATTTAAATCAAATCACTTTTATTGTCACATCACATGTGCAGGTAAACTGGTACAGCACATACGAGTGAAATTCTTGTGCACAAGCTTCACAAGCAAACTACAATTATGCAAAATACAACACAATAACATAAGAACAAACAAAGTATAAGAATGGGTAAATCTGAGGATTATAATAATAAATATATTTACAAATATAATAGTGAATGTGCATTACTGAATATGTATTGTTGTAAAGGCTCACCTTTCAGCACATTCACTTCACCAGATGCACCTTGTTTCTTTTCTTCACCTTTGATTGGGTGTGGTGCTTGCCCTTAATTGCACTCACCTCTCACCCGTTATATAAGGACTGCACTCACCTACAGCTCACTCTTTCTTCACTCCCACATGGGGCAGCAGCTGAGGTGAGTTTCTGTTTGAGTCTCTTGAGTTCATGTATTATTTTGAGTTACTTAAGTCGTACTTTATTTCCTTTCAGAGACAGCAGTCCATGTGTGTGTCTTTCCTTTACTCATTATTCAATAAAACGAGAAACCTACAAGTGATGACTGATTGTTCATTCTCATCCTGACCGGATGAGCCATGATAGTAACAATCTCCAACATCCTCTGAACCTTCCTCCAAAACATGGTCCTTCGAGCTCGAACAGTGTTATCGTCATGGATTCACAGCCCTCAACAGTAGATTTGAGACATTTCGGTCGTGAAAGGCGACCTCCTGCTTACCTGCAGCAGTATGACGTTCAGTACCCTGGAGCTAGAAGTAGAAGTGCTAGATGTGATACAGAGAGTCCAACTGAATGCCAGCACAGTGACACAGACACACATGGGCTGCAGGATCCTGATGGAGAGTCAGAAAGCCAACCAGAGACACGCCCTGCTCCTTTACCCACCAATCAAGATGAGGTTGTGAAGGAACTCCTGATGACAATGAGGGAGATTAGGCAATTCATGATTCAGTTATCTCCTCCCCATTCTCGCAGTTCCCCCAGATCTTCAATTCACACTGTCTCATCTGATAAAGCAAGTCCTCTGTATGCAGTTTACAAGCCATTCCTCAAACACACCAGCAACATGAACAGTTCCCAGTGATTGATCGAGCAACATGTCAATCACCCTCTCAGCCCCCCCAGGTTAGCCGTCACTCTGGTGCAGTTCCTGCTGCTAGCCCTCCTTCACCAAATTCATCAATATTAGATGCTGCAGTTCCTTCAAGCGGTTTGCCTAGACCAGTTTTTCCTACACCAGATGAGACTCCTTTTAATTTCCTGGCCACACCACTGCAGGTTCCCCACCAGATTTCCTTTTGTTCAACCTGCTGTTCCTCTAGATGAAGACCCCGCTAAACCTCTCATTTGCATTCAAGAACCAAGGCAGCGCCCCCCTGTAAAGCAGCAACCAGCTACATCTGATGGTCTGCATGCACGGAAACCTTCGGGACTCATTCCTGCTAGTTCTAGTCACCCTGTTAGCACTAGAACACATGTATGCAAGCTTGAGGGTCCTTCTTTCCCAGACCTTACCAGAGAAGATGAAATCCAGTATAGGCTGTTACGAATGGCCCTTACTAACCTTCTTGACCCTTATGAGACGGAGCACTTTAAATATCATGTCCTTCTCGATCATCTGAAAGTAGACCAAGGTAAACGATTAGCTCTTGCCTTTTTCTATGCTCCTAACCCATACACTCAAGCCATCAAAGCCCTTGATGAACGTTATGGGCAACCAAGGCAGCTAGCATTGAAAGACCACCCAACATAGAAACTGAGAGTTAATAACACGGATAACAGAGGGCAGGAGAACTGAGAGAAGAAAATCAATACCTGCAAACTACAAGCTAGAACACAAACTACACTGCAAAATTATTTGACCTTAAAAATGCAAAATTACTATTAATGACAGAACTAATCCTACAAAAAATACATTAGTAAATAATTCATGGGTGTCAAACTCCAGGCCTCAAGGGCTGGTGTCCTGCAGGTTTTAGATGTCGTTGAACTAAAACAGCTGATTCAAATGGCTAAATGACCTTCTCAACATGTCTTGAAGTTCTCCAGAAGCCTGGTAATGAACTAATCATTCAATTAAGGTGTGTTGACCCAGGGTGTTATCTAAAATCTGCAGGACACCGGCCCTCGAGGCCTGGAGTTGGACACCCCTGTAATAAATGAAAGCTCTAAAACAGAACATGAAAGGCAAACTAAGAATCCACAGAATACTTGATAACAATTACAAATAGAAAGTCCCAACTCATCATATCAGATCCATGACAGGTTAGGAACCATCGAACTCACAACATTCCATGTTCACATCACTACTAAAAATTACACAGAGTAATTGTTCTTTTATTTTTATTTTTTGCCTGTCCCGTTTAGTTCTTCAGCCATCAGAATTGTTGTCTGAAGGCCAAGAAAGATCCCCAACGGATTTACTTTACTAATCATCACGGCCTTGCCTTGAGAAAGGACACTTTAAAAAAATCACCTGGATCACCTGTTGAGAGAAGAAGAGAAAAGAAGCAAAACAAGAGAGCAGCATAAAAACACAACACCATTGCAATAATCTAGCTAAGTGTAAAAAAACAGTAAATATTAAATGTTATTGTGCAGCACGCAAGACCGACAGGGCACAAAGTGCTTTGAGGTAGCAGCCAAGAAAGGTGTGGTTTGTGTCTGTGAACACCTGTGTGGATCAGCGCGCTTGTATTAAAAAAGTTTCTCCATGTAGCGATCTGCTAGGGCAGGGGTGTCAAACTCAAATACACAGTGGGCCAAAATTCAAAACTGGAACAAAGTCGCGGGCTAACGTTAATATTTATTGAAATATATTTATTCCTCCAGATATAAGAATGAATCTTTTCTTATGGACTCAAAACACATTTTTGCTAAAAAACTGAATATGGAACAAGCAAAGCTTAATACTAAACAATATATATATTAGCTGTATAATACCAGTAGGCCAGCTCTGATAGTAATTTGGTATGGCTTCGCGGGCAAAATGTAATTAGGCTGCGGGCCAAATTTGGCCCGCGGGCCAGAGTTTGACACCTATGTGCTAGGGGGTGTGGGGAGTAATAGCCCCGTCCCCCAGAGCATGAAGCAGGTATGGAGGAGATCAGGCCCCAGACTTCCAGAGGCCCCAGAGTGCGAGAGCCCAAGAAGACCATTGGAGGGTCAACCGTGCCACCCTCCTGGGAAGAGGTGAAAAGAGCCTCAGATGAGGGGTCACCCAGCAGCCGTGGTGCAAAAGCCACAGGGGACTGCAGTGATGTGCCCGCGGGCTCTGCCAATCTGACAGAGTGGCCCGAGCCCCAGGCTCAGAGGCCAGAGGCCTGATGGCCCCCCACCCCCCGGAAGGGGCCTGACCGAGCCACAGGAGCCAGGCCCCACCAAGCAGCCACCGGGAGTGAGCCGGACACCAAGAACCACCAACACACCGACCCCTGAGGGGATGGAGTGTGGTGAGGGGAGAGTAAATATTTACCTTTTAAAGTTTATTTCAAATCACTGATTCTCTCTTGTGTTTATCACTTATAAAATAAAACCACATTAATATTGCTGCTTCTAACTACACTTATGCCAAACAGTTGCTGACTCAGCTGCACGTTAAATGGTAAATGGCCTGTATTTATATAGCGCTTTACTAGTCCCTAAGGACCC